CAGTCCTGCACTCGTTCTCTGAAGAGCGAGGCTCGCGTCCGCGGCTCAATACTGTGCGGGAAGAGAGAAGGGGGACGGGACAGCCCTGAAGATAGCCGAGCTGACGGGCAAGGAAGTTCGGATGGTACACTTCCCACCCCGACCGTTTCCCGTCGCAGCCGAGAGGAAGGTCGCGAGCAAGCACGAACGACCCCCAGGTTCGGCGAAGAGCGGCGTCCTCCTCTGCCGCCCACGTAGAGGTAGGCAGTTTGATGGAGGGGGGGTAATCACGACGACGACAAATCAGGAATTCGTCGCTTGTGAGATCGTCAAGGGCAAAGAGGTACCTAAACACCTCTTCGGCCTGATGAGGAGGCGTTGGTCGGGAGGCTAGCTGAGGACCAAGAGCCTCTGTTGCTGAGAAATCAGCTATAGCCGGCCGAAGGGAGGCGAAGTACACCTGCAACCAGAGCTGGAAGACCCAGAGAGGGCCATTCTGGTGAGGATCCACCGTGTGGAGAGTCGCCTCGGCCAAGCAACGGAAGAGGTGGGCAAGAATATTAGAACTCAGCGCCAGGACGCGACCACTGGCCAGGGCTTCGGCCACTGGCATATTCTCGACCAAACATTTGTTTGATTTGGTACAACAAATGTATTTATTGTACCAGTAGAAGAGGAAGGCTTCATGCTCTCCTTCTCGCAGGTCCTCTTCCCCTCGACCGGCGAAGTGAAGGTAGAGGGTGTTGTAGTTGAGAAAGTTCTTGTGGAGCTTCTGTATTTCATCCCTCGACGGGATGTGACCGTCACTATTCAGGGTCTCGAAGGCTCGACGGTCGAAGAGCGTCTTCAGATCGATATTCGACGGGTGCCCGGAGAGGGTCGCGTCGATAGGGATCCCGGTGGCCGAGGTCCCCAAAATGGCGGTGATGTCCAGGATGGTGGGACCAATGGGACCAAGGGGAAGGACCATTGTGTTGGTGGCTGAGCACCAGAAGCATAGAGCGGCTAGGAGCAGCTCCTTGTCAGGGACAATGTCCATTGACGAAAGGAGGATGGCGTCGTAGATGCCCAGGATTTTCCATTTTTTCGCCGAAGAGCCGTTCCATTCGGACAACCCAGGTCGCCCAGGTGGTGGTCGTCGAGGGCCAGGAGCCTTGGGGCTTTGCCGCCTCCCATCTCGACCATTCGAACCCTTGGAGCAAGGGTGTAAGGCAGTGTTCCTGGAGAAGACCAGTGATGGTCGGCGGGATTGTTGCCTTGAAGAGAGGACCCAGGATTTGGTGGACGGTGCTCATGTCGTTCTCGAACCGTATATTCTTGATCGAGCTCCGATCAAGGATCTTCTGATGCTGGTCGCATTCCCGGGAAAGCTTGGAGATGAAGGAGGCCATTGTAAAAGCACAGCGTAAGGAGGTTTTTTGGGTTGGGGATTTGAGGACGAAAGCTTAGAATGGAGGAATGCACTTGAGAGCAAGAGTAGGGGATTTCAGGAAGTTTGAGAACGTAAAGTACAAATGAGGAAATTTCGGTATTTATAGAGTAATGGGAGGAAGAGCAATCGTTCGAAATTCAAAAGCAAAGGGCAAAATCGACCGGAGGAATCGTTGATCATGATGAGCAGTTGGGGAATGCGGTTGAGAAGACCGACGGTTTTAGGTTTTGGGGGCGCACGATCGCGTGTGACGGCGAAGTTAATGACGAAAGACGGTTCGACGCCTGCACGATGACAGGAGGGCTCACGGACTGATGAAATGGCTCGCGGATTGAGATAGTGGTCATAATGACGAGACGGTTCGGGCAGGCGCACGCTTCAGACGTCATTATCAGGGATTGGCCATGTTAGGGGATGCCACGTGGCGAGTGGTTTAGCAGGACCAAGATCGTGCGATCATGTTCAATAAATGCGCCTTGGAACTCGGGTATTGGGATCCTGAGTGGTAGATTCGCTTCTTCAAGGCCGAAACTCGGCCGAAGGTTTCAGGCCGAGGACCTCAAAAGCGAGGGGGCAATGTTTGGGCCCAAAATAGCAGTTTGGGCCGAGGGAGGTATCACTTTCGGCCCGGGAAGACTACGGCGAGAAAGTCATGGGGGCTTCAGCTCATGGGCTTCTAGGCCTAGGTCGGTTAAATCAGAATGCAAGTCGAGTCCTAATACAATAGGGACCCTCGACGAGATCAGTAAAACTAGAAGGCGAATCCGGCTCAGTTAAGGACTAGATTCGTAGTCCTAGCAGAGGTAGGACTGATTGAGGTAACGTTAATCCGGAGAAGGAAACCTAGTTCGAATAGGATTAGAACTCGGGCTCGGTGTTCTGCTTCTATAAATACAAGACATTCAGCAATGGAAAAGCCCCACAAAATCAATACAAAATTGCCCTGCGCAAACTCTCACAACTTGAGATCTTTTTCTTTTCCTTTTTCGCTGACACATCTTCCGTTGGCATCAACAGCACTGTGGAAGCAACCGGTGATATCTTAAGTCGGCATAGATAGCTCTGTCACCGTAGAGTCGGTCGGTCTCGCAGTATCTTCCGTTGGCATCAACAGCACTGCGGCGAGGACGGTCGATTACCTATCCAAGTCTCGGTCGAGAAGGGTTTTCGAATCCTTGTTGGTCGAGGTCATCTCATTAGCCTTCTCGGCGAGGTGAGGTGTCACAGTTATTACATTCGGTACATTGCAAGCCGAATTCGGTTCGTGAACTTTGTAAGAAATAGCAGCCTTGTCTTCAGGCTCGAGAACCCAAGAGGCCGAGACGTGTTCCTTTCTCGGCCGCAATCGCAAGACGCAGAAGTCAGTAGCGCGACCCAACGCAGCATCATCAAATTTACTCCTCGGCCGAGCCTCGGCCGACGAGTTGGCACGCCCGCAATCACCGAAGGACGTAGTTAGCTTAGAATATACTTGGCCTGCGCGCCACGTAGGCTTTGGTAGATTTTAGGGTCAACAGAAACACATGCCTAAAGCATACATGCAAAAATTAGAAGGAAATCATTGTACTTTTTTAATTGAAAAGTCTTGCAGACAAAGACAATGACTTTATTGCGCTCCACCACCCACTTACTTCATTGTCTCATATAAGGAGTGTTTCCACTTAAAATGACGCTTCCATACGGTGCGGGTCCACTAATCTATATTCTAAATCAAATAATGAAACCTAGGACGAAAGGGTGAATGCTTTTAAGTTTTTAATCAACTAAGTTACAAGTTATTTGTTTTTTTTTTTACAAGTACATTGAAATTCTTAATAAAAATGCAAGTGTTATCTAGAAAAGCACTTGAGGTGCTTTTTGAAAGAAGCCCACCACAACAGGAGCTTCTTCGAGTGCACTTCAAGTGCTATTTCGAACTCATAAACACTTCTAACATTTTATACCAAACATGATCGGAAGCATTTTGGACAATTTAAAAACAATTTTAATTATTTTAAAAATACTTTCAAACAGGATGTTTGATAAATCAGTCACTCTATTTGGTATATCTCCCTTTTTGCAAATTCAAGAAATATAATTTTTTAAAACAAAAAAAACTGAAGGAAGATTCCTACTTTCCATGCTAAAACAAAGCCGAAGGGTTCAAATTATGAGATAAGAGCCCCATGGGGTCCGCACTTATAAAGGTAAAGTCCGGCCCACTTAAAATACCTATTGCCCTGCAAATTCGGGCAATTTATTACCTAACTTTTATTTTTTATACCTACCAATCATCCTACAGTTCGATTTGGTTGATCTAGTGAAATTGTATTTGATCTTACTCCGGCAAAAATGACCAACATGAAACAAGTTCATCGTTACTGTAGCATCTTAATCTAATAACATAATTTTACTTTTAAGTTTCTATATATGTAATATTGTATTATTAATTGAGATTCTAAAACGCTGCATGACAGTACAACCGTTCTATGTAACTTACTCTCCTTTTCTAGAACAAAACATTAAATCTTCCAATAGTACCATAAATTTTCCAGTCAGAACATATAAATGCAAACAGCAGAGGATGCATGGCAAGCAAAATACACATTGGGACCCCTCCCCTCCCCAGGATTCAAACCTAGCCTTGCAATATGGTGAAAAAGAAAGAGAGATTATATTTAAACACCCTAATTTACTTCTTCCACACCCTTTTAATTTTTTAATATTTTCTACACACCACTAACACTTGATAAAAAATATTAAAAATTAAAAAGGTGTGAAAGAAGTAATTTGGGGTGTATGAATATAATTTCTCAAAAGAAAAACAAGTCCAAATTTGCATTTCCCCCATCCCCTAAAAGTACAATAAAATAAGGATGGCGTTGTTCACATACTCATGTTTATCTTTCTTACACTCCTTTGAATTTTTAACAGTCGGATCGAATGAATTAAAGAAGATAAATTGACAAAAATTAGCAAAGTGTGTGTGAGATAACAATAAGTGTAAATAGCACTACTTTAAAATGGGTGAGGATCCTCTCCGGATGATTTTTTTGAGGATATCCGTTCATCGTACATCGTGGGGCCGACTTTCATTAGGTATTGTTTGTGTTTAATTTTAAATAAAAAATTCAAAATAATTTTTTACCATACGATGTATAATGAATAGATAAAATATGAGAATCCGGATAGGATCCAAATTCCCTCTAAAATAAAAGCTCGGGAGTGACTCTGCAGTCTGCACCAATGTGGTAGTTAGCAGGTGCATTTGATATGAAACCTGAAAACCCTAAAGTGAACAAAATTGCGCAACTTGTTTGTCATATTCCACCTACTAAAGGTGACCATTCAACTTAAATCACCGAAAATTTTAAATAATTTAAAACTGAAATAGATTAGAATATCACTTCGTCACCTTTTTTAACTAATCAATTATGTTACGACTACTTAACAAATTTGGTTGTCCAAGATGATTTATGCGCCGCTAATGTAGCGACTGGACAAGCCTTTGACAAACTCGCACCGTCCATTTCAAGTGAAGTTTGTATCGTGGACACACGAGTGATCCAACCCGTAGGAGAGAAGAAAAAATGGTTTGAAAAGCACTTACTCTCTTGGTCGTCAAAGTCGATGCTAATCTCCCGGTCGCGGGTGCAACAAGCAAATCTTCGCCTCATCCTTGTTTATTTTTGCCCCTTTTGATCTTTTTGCTATTGGGGTATTGTCCTCAAGCAATAAAACCTAAGGAACAATCAAGATTAAAAATACGTATTAGAGTCCATTAAATTGTAAAATTGAAATAAAAAATGCATTATCTTAAAGGGAAAATGTTAATGATTGCCTTAGGGTCTGAATCTCACTTCACTAACATGCGCATCTCTGACGAAGTGTATATTTTAACCACTTATTTAACAATTAAACACACACACTAAGCTCGCTTAAGCAGTAGCTGCTTAGAGAAGATATTAAATATACAGATAAATACAAAAATAAAATAAAATAAAAACCCACTCTGCCTGCAAGCCATGTGCAAAAACACCATAAGTCCACACCATAGCTAATGACACGTTGTAAAAGTCAAGGCAGTGTGAAATTTTCTCCCTTTCCTTTTCACACTCGTTTTCTTCTCTTTTATATTTTTACAATACACATCTAGTTACTTTTTCAATATGATATTCTAAGCGGTGTTGTTATTGGCACGATGAATTTTTAACGTGCCAATAACAGCACTCACTCTAAATTACTATATAATTTACAAAAAATAAAAAGAAGTTATCCATAGTTGTACGCACAAGTTGTTCCTCTTAACTAACTTGATTCATGAAGGAACTACAAATTCTTTTAAACTAAAATCTGCGTAAGAAATCAACTGAACTAATTCACGTATGCGTTACAAATATATATTTTTTAAATTGTTTAAAAGCAATGAAAGACGTGTGGGCGAGTATCCATGTCTTTGACTGTTAGTTCCACAAGTGCAATTATTTTCTCTGGTGATTCAAATGAAGCTTCGTTTTTGTTGGCAAACACTCAACAGCCGTTTTCAGGAACTTCAAAAGCAATTTAGGACCAAAAAGGAAAGACCTTTACAAAGAGAGTGATTATTGCGAGGACTGCCAAATCTTTTAAAAGATGAAGAAAGTGCTTTTGGAAAACGTCACTTTTCCACAAAACCCATGTAATATTTTATCGTATTGATTTAAAAGCATAAGTTCGAATATATAGGGTTAGTCTGTTAGATCCCTGCCTTTAAACAGAAATTACCAAATAAATAAATACATAATCCCAAAACTATTGGACAAAGCTTCAACCTTTATCCGTAATTCTTGATTATAATTGTTAAGAAAGCACTTAAAAGCTTAAACAAATCACATTTTGCGTACCTTTTAATTTGCAAGTGTGAATCAATCTTCAAAAACATATCACTTCCTCTTCCAGCTCAGCACCTGCCATTGCTGCAATCAACTGGAGCTATTATTCTAGAGAGAGAGAGAGAGGGAGAGAACTGGGGATAGGAGGAGGAGGAGGAAAGAATGTATGTAGGGGGTGTATACACAGGGCATTTAATTTTTAGAGAGAGGGAGAGGCAGAAGAACACAACAGAAGAAGAAGAAGGACATGGATATCAAGGAGCTGCTTTGAGAGGCTCCTCTTCCTCCTCTCCATCTGAACCGTTCATTACATAACCAGTGGGACCCGCAATCATGTTTTTGACGGCAGATATTTGTATGGGGAATTCGGTGAAGGTCCACTTGACCTGGACTTGATGAGAGTGGGTCCTACTCCTAAGTGAATTAGTGATGAGATCTTAGTGCGCAGCGCCGATTTGTAATTTCAAAAACACTCATCGGATCCATAAATTACGATTTTTTTTTTTTCTCTCTCTTTCTAAATCGAAGAGAAGCTTATTTGAAATTGGCTTCACCTTTATGTCAAACGGAATAGGAATATAGTTAGTTTGCTCAAACGGAATAGGAATATAGTTAGTTTGCGCAATTTACCAACCTTAATACGAGTTGATTGAGCGAAAGGAATTTGTAGTATTTATAGAATTAACGCTTGTTTCCACACTGAAATAATATGTTTGAATCTTACCTCGTTTTGGTTTTTGACAATCTATTTTTTATGTCAATAGGTACTAGTTTTTCTTCATAACATCTAAATTCCAAGATTTTTCTTCGTATTAATAAGGGAAGATCTCACAACCCCTCAACTTTTCCAATTTTTGTGAAACTACCATATGTACTAAATTTTATTTTTAAGTTAATCGCCAAAATTTAACGTCTCGTTATAACTTAACACCATTCAATTCCATTTACCTTTCCGTCAAATAATAGCACATGGCAATTTTGAATGTGCCTAGTCATGAGTTTGACAAAATTTATAGTCTTACACAAACAAAGGTTTTTTGGTTGATTATTTGAATCGAACCGAAAGGTGTAAGAATTGGACGGAGATGCTAATATTCGTGTTAAATATTTATAGGGGTATGCTATCCACACACCCATTTTTATTTCTCCCACACCTCTTGTTAATTTCTGTCATTTGATCTTCTTTAATTCATCCGATTTGACGGTCGAAAATTAAAAAGGTGTGAGATAAGTAAAAAGGAGTGTGTGGATATCACACCCCTATTTCTATAGGATTTGAAATGTTTGTTTTCCTAATATGTAGGTGGAAGAAATTGCAGAGTGCATTAAATAAAACACATTCATGTTAATGCCATCTACCCACCACTCTCTATTCTCTCTTATACTGCCCACATGCATAAACAGTATTTCTCCCAGTAAATATCTCTTGTTCAATACTTCATTTATCCGACAAGTACTACAGTTTAGTAATATTCTTTTTTTTTTATAAAACGAAAGGTTTTATATTTGAATCAATAGATGATGAGAACCTATTACATTTGTGATTAGTTCGATACTTAGTGACTAACTCATTGCATGACCTAAAATCATTCATACACTTTTAAACCAAAGCATGAATATAAAATTTATTAAGTGGTTGAAAATGTTTATAAATGTTATCGAGGCCTCTCCTCTTACCAAATTTAAACCTACAAACTTTATAATTGTCGGTTCCTTGCGCTGACTGAGGGCCAGTGGCAATCCCTCTCCCCATTTTTCTAGCCTCCCTTATTTATCTTCTTATAGATTGTTGCTTATCTATTCTTCATGTCAATAAGCACCTCCTCGGTGAGGTTTTTGTGAGTCTTTTTTTTTTCCTAGAATATTTTAATTTTGTGTTGGTGTGTTATCAGCTTCTTTGGGTTTATTTTGTTGAAATTGGTATCTTCATGATGGTGTTGGGCACAAAATTCATGTTAGTATCAACACCAGTTGGTTTCATTGTCAGCTCTCTTCGTAGTCTGGTGTTGCTCGTTGTCAAAGAGTGTCATCATGTTCCTCATATGCAAGGCTTTGTGCGTAGAAGTTATCAAATGCTAATTTACAAAGTGTTTAACCTTTTTATCATGAATGGAGTTTCACGGACTTTAGAGTGTCATCTCAATCCTCTGAATTTGGATGTGGATGATTTCAAGACTTAGATGTGTTCCTTTACTTATTCACGGGCATGATTTCAAGACTTTAGATTGAGGATCTCTTGAATGTTATCTCGAATAATCTATTTAATATTTGTATCAATTCTTAATATTATAATAAAGCCACTACCATTGTGTCTCAAAATAAGTTAGAGAGTATGACGTTGCATTCCCTTCAACATAACAAAGAAAAATAATAAAAATAAGTGTGAAAAAATAATCAAGCATGAAAATTGAGTGGAACTCTCTCTCCGGCATGTTCTTTTGTTTTGTTGTGTTTTTGGGTTACAACTATGGGATGCTCAAAACCAAACTGCAAACGTTTGTGTGTGCCCCTCACTATACCGTTGTAGAAAAATAGTGGCCACGAAAGGCGCCGGTGGGAAGGGGCTTTGTCTATTTCTCTCTTGTCACGTATGGAGCTGTCGATGCTCTTTCAAGTTTCATACCCATCATTGTTCCTTGGCTTTGTTTTTTTCTCAAAAAAATACTTGGCTTGTAAGGAATCATTACAAATCTCTACTCAAAACTCTTTGCAATCGATTTAGAGAACGTCATGCTTATGATCGAAACTAGTCATGTTATAAATGACTCCATAAAGATCAAGATTTGTATAAAATCAATAAAAACTAGGATCGTTTAGTTAATCAATTGTGATAAATAGTGCGAAATACTACAGCTGATTAACTAAACAATAACATAATGAATTCTAATTATAAACACGAAATTCTATAATCTACTACAAAAAAAATTAAATAAGAATTCTTACATATCCTATAGTACCAAAATACTAATCCTTTTTCTTGTTGCATATCCTTATATATAAAGTCATGGGCCCAATGAACAGTATTTTTTGTGTCACAAGCTTCACCAAAAAAATTGGACAAAAATGCCCCTCAAACAAAAAACTTCAAAAGCAACCCAAAATAATGCATCAAATGTGGCAGGGATATTTTCGTCATTTTAATTGTGTTTTTTAATATATTTTTTTTGTACAGTTTTTTTTTAATAATTAGTACATCACAATAGATTAGTAATAATGTGATTCAATCAGTTGTTCATTAAATATTATTTTCTCTATTTTTAAACACGTTCAAAACTTCTTAAGAGGTATGTAATGCCGGTTATAAAAAAGGTCACTCGCACGCAAATAATAATGTGATTAAATTAGTTGTCAAATGATTTTTTTTTTAACAAACGATATTATCTACACCAAGGGGGAGGGGTGAGCTTAGTCTCATAATGGCTAGCAATAATGTGATTCAATCAGTTGTTTATTAAATATTATTTTCTAATATAAATTCAATAGAGATCGATTTTATTATGTAGATTCAGCTGCTTTAATTGGTTTATCAGGGGTTTCTTCTAGTATGATCTAAGATTATTCATTTACTTCAAATATTTGACTTTCCTTTTGTCAATTTACGCATATAAATTTAAAACATGTAAATCACATGTAGCACGTCATGATTCAAAAAATATATTCTGCATGCGCGTGAGCATGTGAGCCCGTGCATGAAGGTTAGTTGGGTGTAAATAGAGGTGTAGGCTTCTAATTTGTCTCAATTTTCAATTTTGAAACCCACGCCTTGTCCTTGTGCTTGTCTTTGCCTTTTGCTTTTTGCATCGCGACTCCAACAACACTCACATTTTCAACTTTTTTTCACCCAAAACTGTGAAAATAAGCCACTTTTAAATGTTTACCAAACACATTTTTTAGCTTAACTTTTTTATAGGGATGTGATGTCCACACCCTTTTTTACTTCTTTCATACCCTTTTCATTTTCGGCCGTCGGATCGGATGAATTGAAGAAGATCAAAGGACATAAATTAACAAGGACGTGCGAGAAATAAAAAGAAGTGAATGGATAACACACCTTTTTTTTATACCCACTTTTTATAAAACTACCTTATATCAAACCAATACTTATCCTAGTCTGGGCAATCACTCCCTGGCCGCGGAGTTATTTTTTTCACCGACCTCAAATCCTAAGCGTGATGCGGGCTCTGTCATGAATTGCCCTTTTCCAAAGAAGTTTGTTTCTTCACTTCTTATTCTTTATATAAATGCAAGAGGTTGGTTAGGTACATTCTCTCCGGCATCTCTAATGTCCCCAATTCGACCTTCCCCATTAACGTTTGTTAAAAGAAATTTAAAAAAATAAGTAATAAATAAAGAAGATGGATAAATGGGCAATGAACTTTTGAATGCAACCAAAAAACCTCATTGTTTCTGCGCTTTACAAGGCCTACTCAAAATAGTGGCAACACAGATTCAAATACTAATGACATAACTGTGTTACACGATTTGAATAACGTAGCGAATTGAGCATGGAACTGTGGATTTTAAACAAAACAAAATAAACTCCAAACTCACTCCCGAGCAACAAACGAGTGGAATGTGAGCATGGAGTCCAAAATACCACATTCCATCAGTCGATATGTAGCAAAAAGTAGGATAATACTTCTTATGGTACAGATCTAGCAGCATACACAGCTCAACAGAACCATTCTACCAGTTAAGCTGTTTTCAATGCTTGATTTCATCCCTTGATGACGGGTGAGGAACCTCCCTTACCTTTCACGATCTTGGCTTTCTTTCGCCCTCGTTTTTTACCTTTCTTACCTTTCGGTGATGGCCCAGTAGTTTTCTTGGACCTGGAAATCAAACCATATAGAATGCGTTGTCTCAACAGAATTCAAAGGTACTTGAATAGAGAAAAATGAACTTAAAAACTCAATGTTCCAGCTGCTAGTATTACCACAGTGAATAAACTAATTACAATCTAATATTTGTAGATAAGCTTTTCCCAATTTCTTGTGACAATGTGTCCTCCAATTGAGATATAGTTTCATAGGATATGCAGAATAGAGAAACAACTTTCATATTACTTTATTGCTCATATGATCTGCAGAGTAAGGAAATATTAGTGTGTTACTAGAACTTTCTTAAATTTTCGGTAACAGAACTTTATCATGTGCTTAACTTGTCCATCTACTGCTTTCGATCTACATTTTGCAAGCAGTGCAGTATAATACACATGCAAGTACTAAAACAAGGAAACCTTGTGCACTAGTCGTTGGATTTTGAACTGATATTCAACTCTTAGAAAAGTAATTTTTCACTTTTAAATGATGAATATCGGGATTCCATCTCAGTATCTTACAGCATTCAATACGTTTAAAGGTGTGCTTGCATGCATGTGTGTGTTGAAGGCAGTTAAATCAACAAACAATGTTTTTCGTTCAGAATAGTTGATCCTAAGATCAAGAACCCAAACTGTATTTTGTCAAATGTAAGTCATATATGCAACCAATCTAATAGAAGTATGATCAGCAAGTTCATTGATCTGGATATTAAGGAATAGAAAGGAACAGCGCAGTTCCAATCATGCATTGGCCCTTTAGACAAGTAGAGCCTGACCAGCATTCTGATCTAAAGGCATTGCATATGTATGCTAATCAACTAACCTCGCATTCGGATCCAAAGCATCCTCAACAGCATGAACAATCATTTTCTTGACCTGTTTTAGGAGGGGCAGTATGGTAAGTCCATCGTAACAAAATGTATCACATATATGATACTCGTGCATATCGCAATATCCTAGTAGCACTCTATACCGTTCAAGATGAAATGAATGCCTAATTAGGTCTCCAGGTAATATTCAAAACAAAAACAAGCAACAAAATTCAACACAGTATCCAAACAAAATCTTAAATTAACACCAAAATTGCCCAACTAAATAAATACAAAATTTCACGTTTACGCATAGTTTTGTACATTCATATACACCCACCACCAACTTAGGCTTCTAAATAATATTCAAAATAAAAAACATCAATATAGCATCCAAACAAAATCTTATACTAACACCAAAGTCTTATCTTAGATTAACACCAAAATCTCCTGGGAAGCTAATTTTAGTCGTAATTCTGAGCATTCATATCAACCCACCAAATCACCAAAGAAACACATGCAACTCAAGAAATTAGAATGGTCTGGTTAACAAAATCTACACGGTCCAACTTTCATAACATGTCAATGTAGCAACAACGAAAGCCTATTTTTACAACAAACAAGACTACATACCTCCAACTTGTCCTCTTTGGCCCTATGATTTGGTGGAAGTTTTCGGAATTCTTCTGTCATCTGGAAGCACTCACTGACATTTTCAGGTGAAACGAAGTCCAATGCAACTTTGATGCATGACTGAAGAAATAAAAGGGTGACTTGTAAGATATATTACACTGGATGTATGTAAACTATTCCATCATACAAACCAATTTCATATTTCACAAACAGAGAAAGGAGAGTTTCATATTGACAATAAAATATTTCCTATCACAATGTGTGTTAGTGAAACTGCTTAATAAGACTCATGTAAGAAAGTCTATTGAAAAATACAAGACAGCAATCTTCAACAGAAGGCTTAAGAGAAGCCATTTTAAAAAAATTGGTAAGTGAAACAATCAATAGCTCTTGATTTATGATCTAAGTCAATTAATCATGATAGAGCCAAAGTTAGCACCTTTCTTGACATTCCACATAGTCCATATATGCATGAAATACAAGGTTAAATTTCACATAAGCATCACATATCATTGCCGGTATTACACCATCACATAGCCATAGAATGGCTGTGTACTATTCATTGCAACAAAGACTGATATATTGATGGCATAAACAAAGGCCTTCCAAAGAGAAGAAATGTGTCTAAAATCCCAAATGTAAAAGAATCTCAACAATCTAATATTTCATAGCATCAACAGAAGAAATCAAAACAGTATAATAAACAAAACAAACAGATAGAGCATCAACTACCCAAGAAAAAGTAAACCTGAATATACGATTTATGCTGGTAATACAAGTTACCTTCAAGTTTCTGACTTGATGCGGACAGCCTGCAGGAATAAAGACAGCGTCCCCAAGTTTTTGGATAAACGTCCACGGTTCAATTCCTAGTAGAGAGCATTTAAACATATCATACAAAACTTGAATACAAATACACACATGATTTATAATAAGATCACTTGCAGAAAGAAAAATTTAAGTGTGGGAGGGAAAAAAAAAAAGCAAGTGCATGCCTGCATGGAGGGTAATATTACTTGATTGGCCTTAACAATCGATTCTATTATTCAACTTATTAAAGTTGAAAGCGTACAAGAGTAAGTTTATCCTCTTTGGTTCACAAAGAGGGTTACCTTAACATAGATAAGTATACTGTGAACTAACCGTATTCTTCCTTTAGCTTCTTTTTATGCTCCACGGTCAGATAAAAGGTTTGATCATGTATGGGATGAATAACCTACACCACCAAAAAAGACAATAAATGCTGTAGAACCCAAAGAGAAAAGCTTTGAAAGGCTAAAGATTCTAAAAACATAAAAAAATAAACCAAACGCTATTTGTCTGCAATTCACCTAAAACCGTTTTATCTTAATTACAAAACGTCCTGTGAATTGTGGGCATACAAAAGACTGCAACATAATGTCATAATTGATAATTTGAAATAAAAATAATGATCATGTAAAAGCCCAAACCATTATTATCCCAGCTTCACCTCCAAGAGATAGAAGAATTTTTTTATTAATAACTGTTGCTAAGCAATTTACCTGCTGCAACGGACAACAGTGTGTATGCCTGAATTCCTTAAAGTGCTTCCTGAGATATTCTTGCAGCTTAGGAACATCCTGTCTCCGGAAAATGTCCCACAAAGCACCTCCCTCAGCTTCAATTGACCCTTCCAACTTATTCACACTGTTTCGCGAATCCTCACAATTTTCACCATTTTCATCATGATCTATTTTTTCCTCCACACTCTGAGACCACTTTGAAATATCTCCATCATGCCGAACAGTTGGTTCGTCGGACTCCTGAACTGATGTACCACTATCTGGATTGTTACTCTCCACACAGTCAACCCGAGTCTGACAATTCCCAAAAAGTTCCCTTTGGTCTTGCTCAAAATGTTTTTTCTTCAACTCTTCTATAGTGGCAAGCTGCTTAGGATTAAGAGTCACTTCAGTGGTATGTGTCAAAACATTGACCTGAAACAGATAATTAGTGGGAAAAATATGATTAAAACTATATGGTAAACAAAAGTTAAAGACATGAGTCTCTTAAAAGTTGGATCCAAAAAATTCAACAATGACTCAAACTAGAAAAAGAAAAGCAAAAGTATCAAAGATCCAAAAATTGAACTATGACAAACAAATGAAGCACAGTAGTAGAATCCAAGATAAGGAAACATACTGCATCCGACATATCACAATGAAGCTTCGTAACAGAATCTCCACGTCCAAGCTCCTGTGCAACACCATAAGCTATATATGTCTTAGGCCCCATGTCTGGCTTTACATATTTATCAGGCAATTTGGTAGCAATGTTCAAATAACCGTTTCTAGGATGAGTATATTCCTTGAATGGCAAACAATTTATAAACTCGGCACCATGACGAGGAAGGCGTTTCTCAAATAAAGTAGACGGCGGCCAATCTTTCAGTTTCAGAATCTGGGGCCACTTTTTCCAGTCAAACCGACCTTGCGAATACCCAGTAAAAAATTGGTGTATATTGATATCCGCCTGCATTCCATCACAAGTTCATAACACTTATCAAACTCAAATCAATAACCATAAAACCTTTCAGTTTTTTTAACAGAGTAATGGCAATAATTGTGGACAAAAAGTGGAGAAAACTAATGAGCAACAAACAATGTGAAAACCCTTTTGGCTCTTAAAAAGAAACAGTTTAAGAAGGCTCAATAAACCAGTGGCAATGAATATTCCCTTTAACATCAATCTAAGGAAGGTTTGTGATTCTAACAACTTGCAAAAACAGGGTTTTTACCTTTAAAATATATATTATATTTCTCCACAGCTAAATTAACAAATTCCTCTGTTTAAAATGAAATGGAGGAAGAAAATTCACTCAACTCCTACATTCGATGACACTTGAAACTCAATAAAGAATATGACTCCAGATTCGAGGTCAACTTTACGAGATGGCAATCAGTTGAATCAATACATTTAAAAAGTAACAGCACATCAGGCACCGTTTTAAAAACTGATTAAGGAGATCTGAATGGAAGTTTTTCCGAAGAATTATAACTAAAGGAACACATTTAGATCCCCTGCCTAATTGTTTAGTTAATTAGCCTTTTCATTTAGGGCAATTTCAGATGACATTTATTTCATACATGGTTTGTTTTGCTGAGTAGATAAGTTTATAAATGAGTTGTTTCACATTAAACAGAGAACATTAAATTCATTTGAGAAGAGAACAAGATTTTCTAAGAGCATTGTAGAATGGTGTTCATAATTTTCAAACCATCTGACCAATACTATTTCCTGTTCAGAATGTATAAGAAACAAAAAATACTTGAAAGTTGAAACTCATGAACCATAGGCAACGCAATACATATTCTAAGAAATTGTGGTAGACTTTAGACCCTTGACCAGTAAGATGTCTATCCTTGCTTGTTCAGGCAGGAAAGAAGTAATGAAAAAATCCCCATAAAATTTATACTTTTAAAGTCAGAGAACAACTAACCTCACACCAATCCAAGCAGTCGATAGTCTTGACATCCAAATGTTGACCATGCTTTATATGTTGCATTTGACGACAAGCCCGCCACATGACGAATGGCTCCCAGCTTAAGCCTAATGTAGTTTCGAGCACATTGCTCACAATTACAGGCTCACCCTTAACCCAATGGCACTGGAAATGCTTCAGATCCTCATGCTGGATATCTACAGCCCTTGGACAGTACAAGTAGTTATCATCCGAAGCATCTCTAGAAGCCGCTTTCCTTATTTTAGTGCTTGAGTTAACATCATCAACAGATTTGAGAACACATCTCTGCACCAGTTTCACTTGCATTCATTAGTTTGTAAGTTTTGTCTATCTCTTCTGCTTTCTTTACCAACTCCATGAGGTGATTTTCGGGAAACAAGCATCTCAATTCTAATATACCATCACCACAACCACCCATGTCCTTTGGAGGACAAGAAATACTACCATTGTCATTTGGTTTCCACTCAAATGTTGATCTAACAGAAGACTTGGGGCTAGCTTCCAAAGGCAGTTTCACTTTTACCTCCTCCCCATGCAAATAGTCTAGGCCTCGACTCACATATTCCATAATCATTTCTTCCCCACCTCCCTGCAAGCATCCATCTCGAATCTCCCCACAACAGATAAGGCAGAGGTCATATGAACATCCAGGACAGCTTCTGTGAAAGTCAAAGATGGAAGTTTTGCAGTTGTTGCTGACAAAGAAAAAATAAACAACAAAGTTACTATCAAATGAGCAAAAAAACTACAGAATATATGCAACACGGTAATATGTTCCTGGTAAAGGTTCTACCAAAACACACGCTCATCAGGATCTACATCTGACTTTTTTGTCTTTAGCTCCAAAGGGGATATCCCTGTCCCAAAGAACATCCAAAATCAAATTAAAACAATAATAAAAGTTCCATTAATATTGTGTGGTAGGTCTCAGATGGGATGAGTGAGACAGTGATTACTTCTAATCTCAGGCATCAATGAGAAACAATCCCAGCCAAGGACAGCAATAACATCCAATATCCCTGATTTCATAAATGATTGCAACCTATTGAGAGTAATAAGTCTCTCTTTTGAATGTGTGGCAATATTATCTGCAGCATACCTCTTGGCCCAATAAAAGATACAACATCTGTATTCATGTGAGCTCATCTTCTAACCAGCCCCGCCCCCCCCCCCCCCGCCTCCCCCAACAAAAAAAAGAAAAAGAAAAAACACACACGCACACAACAGATTGTATTCATGTATGCACACATATTTTAACAACTACAATGTAAGTTTAAACTGTTCGATTAAGTACACCTTGCCTCAAAATCATAACAAAAGATGATTAGAAACAAGAGTTATTCCTCTAATGAGTTACCAGAAAGAAAATACCTTGTCTTGTAGCCTCGATCTCCATCTCCGTCACTTGTTCAGCATTAAGTCTTTTCAAAAATGGAAGCAAAGTATGGATCAAATACTTAGAGTGCTCAACTTTCTCCTCCTTGGTAACTTCAAATTCAGGGTAAACATCCTGCATTAAAAACCAAAACATTTTATAAAAACTTCACTTGTGTATGAAATGAAACAGATCAACTGAAAAAAGCCAAAGTTCAGGAGCTTTGCACAAGGAGAGGAAGCTCACCTTCTCAGACTGATAATCTAAGCGCAAGCATGCTTTGCAATTGCAATTTTTTCGGCATACTGGACAAGATTCAGCAATGGCATCCTCTGATGTATAAGGGTACCTATAAATACAAAAATACAATATATACTAAATAAAAAATTAATGCAACGAGAAAGTTGGCATTTCAGTCCAAAATAATTGGAGATTTACAACCAGACATACCCGTAAACCTCTAATTCCAGATCCAATCCAAATGCACCCCAGGTTTCATCCATTAAAATACGATTTTAAAACCCTTGTTAACAAATCTTTATGTTTGTTACAGAAAAGTCTATTCTGAAACTCGCCTTATATAACTATTATTTTTGCAATGAACACATTATTCCATCACCAATCAATTAAGATGTAAACTATAACCCCTTTGTCCTTTTGAAACCAAATCAAACATCATTTACTGGATTCTACTCATACAAACTCACTCCAAAAGAGGGTGGTTGGTCCAACAAAACGAACTCAAACAACCCAGCACCTTTAGTAAATCAGAATAATACAAATATAGAGCAGATAAATGCATACCAGTTCTGTATGCAAGGAATACAAAATCGCTTCCTCTTACACTCTTTGCAGCGAACTACCCGGCCTTTGTCATTCCTCTGACATTGATGGCACATCAACGAAACCTCCTCAACAAACTGTTAAAATCCAAAACAACAATTACATTATAAATCACAACAGTGACAACAAATGACATAAACATAGAATGTACAGATTTCTTACTTTCTTGGACTGCTTATTTACTTTTCTTTCTTCCTGGTTCGGAGGATCCTTGACGCCCCTAATTGAATAATCTGCTCTCTTGCTTCTTCGCAAACCTTCTTTCTCCATATCGGTGTCATCAGAATGCCCCACTTGTTCATCTTCTGCATCCTCCCTACCCCCATTATCACGTTTCTTAGGGGCCCTATTTCCATTGTCTCCTCTGCCTTCTTCCCATTTCAACTCATCAACTACACCATTCCCTTCCAAACCAACAGTTCTTCCCTTTCCCTCTACAAATCTCAACTTTTTCCGACCTCTCCCACCGCGCTTCTTCACAGAAGCACCGCCATTGTGTCTGCATTCGTCCCCGCTTTCGTGCTCATCCTTCTCCAAATACTCCACCCCCAAATTTCTGCTTCTCTTGCTTCGACGTTGCGCTCCATTCTGATTCAATTCAACTCCTTTAGCTTCCTCCCCGTGTGTTCCATTATGATTTCCCAAAACCCCCTCCTCCTCCGCCTCCCCTTCCTCCTTGGCGGCAGAAGCACCTCCGTCGCCGCCTTCCGCGGCCTTCACAGCCTCCAAATCAGTCTTCCTTTTCCTACCGCGCTTCTTCTTCTCAGTCACAGCAGCAACCACTTCCACTTCCATTTTCAACCCTTCACTCTGATTCTCCAAACCCACCTCCTCCGCCTCTAAAGCACCATCCTTTTCGACACTGGTGGTGGACCCATGATTTTCCGGCACCATTCTGGGTCTTCCTCTCCCTCTGCCTCTCCCTCTTCCTCTTCCCCTCGCCATCACAGACACAAATCCTCAACTCTTTCTCTCTAGTCTGGCTCTGAAAAGGGAAGCAAAAAGTGTGTTGTTTGCTTGTGGGAGAACTCAAAGAAACCTATTTATGGGAACCTTAAATGTCTCCCGGTTATTAAGGGGTTATGCGGGGGGCAGAGAGAGAGAGTGGAAAGTACCGAAACGATGGGTCGGTCAGTGCCCCAGTTTAAACTTCAAAACAAAACAGTGGGTGGGAGAGGAGAGAGACACACACACACAGAGAGGGAGGGCGGGGGAATTTTGAAAAAATGGCGCCACAGCTAAAATCCCATGAGGGATATTTTAACCTGTGATTTGAGTGCGGTAATTATTTTGGGAGGGAAGATGATATGGCCATGGAAACGCAGTCCAATGCCCTAACACTGTCGTCAAACCTAGTCATCGCCCTACGGGAACTGTAGTGCAGACCTAGAAAAGTACACACTCTTGTAAAATACAGAGAGACGTGAGTTTTCAATTTGCTTTTTATTTTTTTTACTTTGCTTCTTATATTCAATTTGCTCCAGTGCCCTGATTACTTACAAATTATGTCATATTTCCTTTCAAAAAAATTTGTTATTTTTAAGGCTACAAGATGATATTTACTAAATCATAAGTTAATCCGCAAGTAATTTGTAGTTCAGCTTGTTAAAAGTATTCGTTCATGGATTCAAAATTCTATGCTCAAATCTCGCTTTTCATAATTTAAATAGTTTTATCATAATAAATTTAATCACAAAAGAATCTTCTTCATAATATTAAGAATATGTTGTGAGACTAAATTATAAAAGTGAGAGAGAGAGAGAGTACGATAATAAATGATAAAATTAAAGAATAAATGATTAAAAATTCATCACATAATTTTAGGATTTGTGACGTCTAGGTCATCACAAACTAACTTATAATTAGCATTTGAGCTTGAGAATATGTGAGGAATCACGTCATGCGTACAAAAGTATAGGTGGCGAATTGAAATTCATCACACTTTAGGTACCGTTTGGTACGTGGAACGAGACGGAACAGAATGGGACGAGGCGTTCCGTCCCACGTTTGGTGTGCCTAAAACGGGTGGAACGCGCTATTCCACGGGACGAGTTTTGGGTGAATTTTCGTTCTGCCTCACCCCCTGGAACGACTCGTTCCATATCTGTAGAACACAAAATTATAACATCTCTGTTTCCTTCTTCTTCCTCTTTGTTTCCATCCTAGGGGATCTTTGCTTTCTCTCCGTTCCGTCCCGTCCTGTCCCGTCCCGTCCTATTCCATTATGTCACGTCATGTCTGCATATCAAACGATACCTTAGGTGACGAGCCTTGTGACAATGAAATTCATCACAAATAACCATTATGTGATGAATTTTTAGTATTCTATGACGCTTTGCCATCTTTCTTTTTTTTCTTTTTTTTTTTGTAGTCATTGTATGTGTATCACATTCATGAGTTATACTTAACTCAAAAATAAGAATCATTATGATAACACTCAGATTTTTTGGCTCTATAAAAATTTAATACATGTATTATTAGTATCATACTCAATTTTGTAGTCTACCAAAAAAAGGCCTTATAAACCACAAGATAAACACATCTGGCCAATAGGCGTACAAAACTAAATAATAGCAAATGGGAAGAGACCATGTAAATATTCAATACACAATTTTTCTCTCGCTATTCTCGATTAATTGAACCAAATTAAACACTTTTTTTTTTTTTGACAAACAATAGATTTTGTTAGATTAGATGTTAGATTAATCACTAATAGGATTCGAACTCACACCGTCATGCAAATGCTCAACTCTTTTCCATCACTATAGTAAAGGGTCACTTGCTACCAAATTAAACACTTTAAATTCTTTAGATTTCACTTATTAGGAATTATGATTTGGAACTCAATTCTCAAAACTTGTAAATTATTAACACTCACAATCTACAACTAATCGATCAATCAAGAAATAGTAATGGTAGAAAGACTAAATTTGGAGATTGAAATTGCAAACTAAATGATGTGTCACCAATAGAAATGAGAACGTCTATCAACTCTTAAGTAATAAACCAATCATCAACTTCCATGTCTTTTAGTCTCTAAACTGAGTGTCCCTAGCATTACTCATCAATAAAAGGTCCACTCAAAGACTCTCTAATGATCAAGTCAATATAAGTGTCTAGAATTCAAATAGTATACTTGAGAGCGTATGTATCTCGTACCTTTGGTGATAACCCTAAGGGCACGTTTGTTTGACAGGATTAGCAAGGCTTGGACTGGACTAGACTATAGTCCTGTGTTTGGTGTGCAACCGGATTAGCTTTAATGGGCTTAGGTGGGACTCGCTCGGATTACACGCCTCCTTACGAGTTCTTAACGAAGAACCCCAATTTTGGGCGGACTCGTAAGCTTGGAGAGAAAACCGCGAGGATCCCCAACGTCCTGCTCGTCCTCATCTCTGCGAGGATCCCCAACGTCCCTCGTCCTGCTCGTCGCTCGTCGTCGACCTTGCCCTGCTTCCTCGTCGTCGTCCTCCTCACCCTCATCTCTGCGTCTTCTCGCCCTCATCTGGTCGGAGACAGTCTGGTAAGCTTCAAATCTTCGATTGATTTCGTCGAATTGAGATTAGAATTTGGGGTTTTCATATTTTTAGTTCAAATTGAGATTAGAATTTGGGGTTTTCGTATTTCAACTTTTCTGGTAAACTTCAAAATCAATTTTTAGGTCAAATTGAGATTAGAATATGTGTGTGTAATCTATGTGTGTGTCTGTGTGTGTGTGCGTGTGTGTGTATACTATGTGTGTGTGTACTCTGGTTTGTCTGTGTGTGTATACTCTTTGTGTGCGTGTAATCTCTGTTTGTGTATACTATGTGTGTGTGTGTGTAATCTCTGTGTGTGTAAGTGTAATATGTGTGTATGTAATCTGTGTGTGTATACTGTGTGTGTGTGTGTGTAATCTGTGTGTGTGTGTGTGTATGTATGCAGTGTGTGTGTGTGTATGTATGCAGTGTGTGTGTGTATGTATGCAGTGTGTGTGTGTATGTATGTATGTATGCAGTGTGTGTGTGTATGTATGTATGTATGCAGGGTGTGTGTGAGTGTATGTCCGTGTGTGAGAGTGTGTATGTCCGTGTGAGTATGTGTGTGAGTGTGTATGCAGTGTGTGTGTGTGTGTATGTATGCAGGGTGTGTGTGTATGTATGCAGGGTGTGTGTGTGTATGTATGCAGGGTGTGTGTGAGTGTATGTCAGTGTGTGAGAGTGTGTATGTCCGTGTGAGTGCAGTGTGTGCAGCTGACCAGTGTGTGTGTGTGTGTGTATGTATGCAGTGTGTGTGTGTGTGTATGCAGTGTGTGTGTGTGTGTATGTATGCAGTGTGTGTGTGTGTATGTATGCAGTGTGTGTGTGTATGTATACAGTGTGTGTGTGTGTGTGTGTATGTATGCAGTGTGTGTGTGTATGTATGTATGTATGCAGGGTGTGTGTGAGTGTATGTCCGTGTGTGAGAGTGTGTATGTCCGTATAAGTATGTGTGTGAGTGTGTATGCAGTGTGTGTGTGTGTATGCAGTGTGTGTGTATGCAGTGTGTGTGTGTGTATGTATGCAGTGTGTGTGTGTGTGTGTGTATGTATGCAGTGTGTGTGTGTGTGTATGTATGCAGTGTGTGTGTGTGTGTATGTATGTCGTGTGTGTGTGTATGTATGCAGTGTGTGTGTATGTATGCAGTGTGTGTGTGTGTGTATGTATGCAGTGTGTGTGTGTATGTATGCAGTGTGTGTGTGTGTATGTATGCAGTGTGTGTGTATGTATGCAGTGTGTGTGTGTGTATGTATGCAGTGTGTGTGTGTGTATGTATGTATGCAGTGTGTGTGTGTGTATGCAGTGTGAGTGTGTGTGTGTGTGTATGTATGCATGAAGTGTGTGTGTGTGTGTGTGTGTATGTATGTATGCAGTGTGTGTGTGTGTGTGTGTATGTATGTATGTATGCAGTGTGTGTATGTGTGTGTGTGTATGTGTGTGTGTATGTATGCAGTGTGTGTGTGTATGCAGTGTGAGTGTGTGTTTGTGTGTGTATGTATGAAGTGTGTGTGTGTGTGTGTGTGTGTGTGTGTATGTATGTATGCAGTGTGTGTGTGTGTGTGTGTGTATGTATGTATGCAGGGTGTGTGTGAGTGTATGTCCGTGTGTGAGAGTGTGTATGTCCGTGTGTGTGTGTTAGTGTGAGTGTGAGTATGTATGTGTATTTTGCACATTTGTCCATGAGTGTGTGTGTGTACTTGGTTTATAACCATGATATTACAATGTGAAAGTTTTGTATTGTGTGGGGTTGATGCTGAATTGCAATTTTTTGTGGTTGTTGGTTGCAGAGAAGATGAGCATAAACGGAAGGCTAAGGCTAAGGCTACTGCATTACAGGTGTCCTTTAATTTCCCTCTTCACATGCAATGCCTAGCAATGATAGCAATCCTCATACTAGTGTTCGTCTAAAGGTTTTTAAGCGACAACGCAAGCGGATGAGGATTTTGGCTAATGTTAACATGGATGTATTTTATTAATGTTAACATGGATGTATTTTATTAATCATACAATCTTATGTTATGGCTTATAACTTAGCTTTGCACTATTATTTTGGCTTATGTTAACTAGCCATTTTGTAAATTATGGAGATCTATTTTGGCTAATGTTAACTAATGTTAACTAGGATTTTCTAAATTATGGAGATCTTCTTATGTACTTGTATTTGTTGAAGTTGCATGTATTGGGCACTATTATTTTTCTTCTGTTGGGTGATAGAGTTTAAACCAAGCTACATTTGCAAATTAAACCCAATTCTATTAGCAGGTAATAGAAACAAAACAATTGTCAATTTTTTTTAAGATTCATAATATACATGGCAAAAATATGCTCCAATTAACCCATATCATGAGATTTGTAGCATTACTCTATTACACAATGGCAAAAATTTGTAGTCCTAGTCTAAGCAAACACAAATTTGGTGAACAGTACTGTTTTTTTTATCCTGCTTCTTAGTCCGACATTACACCAAACGCTTCACTAAGTTAGTCCAGCTTAGTCCAGTCTAAGCCAGTCCAGCTTAGTCCCGGCAGCTAGTCCAGTCCGAGACAGTCCGATGCAACAAACGCACCCTAAAAGGTGTATTTATACTTACACTAATAAGAGAATAGTCCTTGTAAGGATAGTAATCTATGAATAATTGAAGGAATCCTAGAGGGAACATAAGGAGAGATTTATTTTTGACACGCCCGACCCTGATATTCACCAAACACCAGGGTAGGCACGTGGTGGCCGTCACCCGAAGGTGACGAAGCCATATTAGGATGCACGAGAACTAGAAACAATTAACCGACATAAATAAAACTTGTAAATTTAATTATAATGAATATGCAATCGAGAAACGTATTCAGAGCATACAACTAATATGAGACACTAAAAATGAATAATA